TAGTATTCTGCAGTGATGAGAATACATCTGTTTAATATGGTACCTACTATCACTATTAATCATGTAAAATATGTCTAGTGTGACAGGAATTGAATTTTTCATCTTTTAAATTTGACAAATTTAAATAGCCACATGTGGTTAGTGGATGCTGTATTGAACATCAGAGATGTAGATTACAGTTTTTGGACCTGTAATGATATTCCATGATACTCCAAGTACTTCTCCAGAGTTTTCATTACTGACCAGACTATTCCTGGAATAGCCTTTTTGCTTCAGACATGATTTAAGGCTCTAAAATATAGTTATAATGATGAGAGGTGATTTGGTGCTGTTAGGTTATGAAAAATTTGTATTTGATTGGTTTCAGTTAGGTAGCTTTTAATTTCACTTTCTGCTAACCCAAAGAGTACAGGTTTTGATTAGTTAATTTTTGAAACTGTTTATGGAGCTTCTGACACATAAAAAAGATGATAATCGCATTTGTCTTAAGATTTCCATCACTTTATTTCATACTGATCACCCAGCCCAAGAGTCATTGCCAGAGAAAATGCAGTGGAAAAAGCTTATTAACCTGTCCAATTTCTTTGCTTCTGTAACAGTTATTTGAGGATATGATAGCATATTAGGCTTATCAATGTGCTGTCCTAAGATTATTCAAGGGAATATGTTGCTATTTTAAAAGTCTTAATCAGAGAGGGTTATTTAGTTGGAAAAGTACTAAAGAATAAACCAGGTGAAAAGGACAATACTGCTTTCCCCCACCCGGCTATTTTCTTAGGTAGTATTGGTGTATGAGGAGGAGTGCCCTTTCAGCTTCGTTGATGTTCAGTTGTGTCTTTTGTGCAGGGTATGTCCTTGAACTTGGAACCTGACAATGTTGGTGTTGTCGTGTTTGGAAATGATAAACTGATTAAGGAAGGAGATATAGTGAAGAGGACAGGAGCCATTGTGGACGTTCCAGTTGGTGAGGAGCTGTTGGGTCGTGTAGTTGATGCTCTTGGTAATGCTATTGATGGAAAGGTAGGTTTAATGTTGATTAGATATAGTTGCAGCTTTTAACAAACATCAGAACTGATTATGCTTAGGGTTTTTCTTTTCTTTTTTTTAACAGGGTCCAATTGGTTCCAAGACCCGTAGACGAGTTGGTCTGAAAGCCCCCGGTATCATTCCTCGAATTTCAGTGCGGGAACCAATGCAGACTGGCATTAAGGCTGTGGATAGCTTGGTGCCAATTGGTCGTGGTCAGCGTGAGCTGATTATTGGTGACCGACAGACTGGGTAAAGACTCAAAAGCATATTAAAAGTGCTAACTAAAATTTGCTCAATGGAAGGATTACATTTTAGTCTTGGAATGGTAAATGGTAATGGGGACGTTAGAATGTAATATGAGGATTAATAGTAGTAAAATTTTACCTTTTAAGTTTAGGAAGATTTATGTTTACTTTATCTTTTTAAAGGAAAACCTCAATTGCTATTGACACAATCATTAACCAGAAACGTTTCAATGATGGATCTGATGAAAAGAAGAAGCTGTACTGTATCTATGTTGCTATTGGTCAAAAGAGATCCACTGTTGCCCAGTTGGTGAAGAGACTTACAGATGCAGGTAGTAAAAGAAATTTAGTCCCGTTGCTTTTATCTCAAGTCCTATTACTGCTAATTGTAGAATAGCTTCTCCTTAATGAAGACATATTTTAATTATTCCCTAATGAGCTGAACTTTTAAATACAAATCAGTAAGTAAAATAATATAAAAC